CTTACGACCATTTCAAATTATTTTCAACCTGTCTGCGGCAGCATCCTTTTTGATGCCTTGCACATTTTTTGGGAAACTCCTGCACCTGTAGACTAAGACCGCAAATAAAGTTTTTTGCCAACATCTTAGGATTATCTCACCTTTTTCTCAATATTCCCTGCAACGGGAAAACCTCCTAAACACCTGAAAACGGCAAATCAGCCTCTGAAAAGAAGGATGCAAAAAAAAGGATGTTTGGTGCTAAAGACCTGTTGTCAGCGGTCGGTTGCAGTAAATTGGATTAAAGAGAACAAAAGGAGCGAGTGAAAGGGAGTGAGCAAAATAGAGAGAGAGAGAGAGAGAGAGAGAGAGTGAAAGGAGACAAAGCAAATGCCCTAAACAAATAAACACCCGCATGCGCACGCCAGGACCAGACAATGATGACCCACAAAAGGAAAGACAGGCAGCCCTTTTTTTGGGAAAACAAAGGCCAGCAGCAGACAACACGTACCACTGGCTGTTTGGCTGACTGACAAAAGGCTAGCCCTTTCATTCTCCTATTTTGTTGTTTTTTTTCTGCTTTTCATGGCACGGGTGCTGAGGTGTTAACAAGTGTTTTGAAACCTAATTGATTCCTGGCTGCGTATCGCCTGCGCACAAAGACACACACGGTGTGGGCACAGCTGCTGGCTGTTGGTCTCCTGCCTTGATCCTTTCATTCATAGACAAGAGACAGACACTCCAGACATGCTCAGCCATAGGGAAAATAAAATAGGACAACAAAAAGAAGCCAAGGAAGGAGTTAAAAAGTCTGATCTCTGCTCTTTTGTTTTTGGTCTAGCTTTTTGTTGTCTGCTTTCCTCGGCAACTACCTGCCAAAAAGATCCTATTTGGTCGATTATTAATTAAAGGGCGTTTTTTTTCTATTGAGCGCAGCTAAGAAAACAGACGCAGAATATGGTTGGCTTTTGGTTGCACAATGGAATGGGGGTTTCCCCAGACAAAAGGAGATTTCTAGGTTTTCTATAGGCATGAGAAGGCCTGAAGTTGTTTTCATACTGCAGCGAAGGCCTATGAGACCTCCAAAGACAACAGAAGATATTTCAATATTTTTTAAAAATTTCTCCTCAAGGATAACTGGGGCTGAAAGCGTAGATATTTTAGAATTTAATTTATTTGGGTCTAAAAATTTGATTAAAAAAAAATTTAGGACATTCAGGACTGAATCCTTTTTTCCGTGAATTTAAAAAAAAATCTCATGGATAACCCAAAATATATGGGTTTAAAAAAAAATTTCTCAAGGATACTTAAGGCTAAAAAACATCGATTTTTAAAAAATATATTTCCAAGGATAATCAGTTCCGAAAATGTTCCCAAAAAAATTCTACATTTTGTTTTCAAGGATATTTTACAAAGATAGTCAGGGCTACAAGCATGGAATTTTTGGGAATATTTTCTCAAGGATAATTGGGACCAAAAATATATTTTTTTAACAATATTTTCCCAAGGATATCCAACGCCGAAAACGTGGATTTTTAACGAATATTGTCTGAAGGCAAAAAAAAAAAAACGAAAACTTTTTAAAAATATTTTCCTGAAATACTTTGTTAATCAGGATTATAAATGTGATTTCAAAAAAAATCTCCAGGATATTCAAAAATATTGAGAAACATTTCAAGAATGATAATGGCTAAAAACGTAATCCCAAGGATAACCCGAAATAAAAAAATGAATTTTTAATAATTTTTTTCAAGGGTACTCAGGGCTGAATTACATAGATTTTTAAGAATATTTTGCCAAGGATAATCAGCTCCCAAAAAAACAATATTTTTTTTTTGAATATTTCTCAAGGATAGTCAAGGCTAAAGATATGAAATTTTTGGGGATATTTTCTCGAGGATAATTGGGGCTAACAACAAAGTTTTTTTGGCAATATTTTCTCTAGAATAAGCAACGGTAAAAACGTTAATTTTTTATTTATAAAAAATAATTTTTAAAAAATCCACGTCTATTGGCATTTATAAAAAATAATTTTTAAAAAATCCACGTCTATTGGCATTTATAAAAAATAATTTTTAAAAAATCCACGTCTATTGGCATTTATAAAAAATAATTTTTAAAAAATCCACGTCTATTGGCATTTATAAAAAATAATTTTTAAAAAATCCACGTCTATTGGCATTTATAAAAAATAATTTTTAAAAAATCCACGTCTATTGGCATTTATAAAAAATAATTTTTAAAAAATCCACGTCTATTGGCATTTATAAAAAATAATTTTTAAAAAATCCACGTCTATTGGCATTTATAAAAAATAATTTTTAAAAAATCCACGTCTATTGGCATTTATAAAAATAATTTTTAAAAAATCCACGTCTATTGGCATTTATAAAAAATAATTTTTAAAAAATCCACGTCTATTGGCATTTATAAAAAATAATTTTTAAAAATCCACGTCTATTGGTATTTATAAAAAATAATTTTAAAAATCCACGTCTATTGGTATTTATAAAAAATAATTTTTAAAAAATCCACGTCTATTGGTATTTATAAAAAATAATTTTTAAAAAATCCACGTCTATTGGTATTTATAAAAAATAATTTTTAAAAAATCCACGTCTATTGGTATTTATAAAAAATAATTTTTAAAAAATCTACGTTTTCTTGTATTTATAAAAAATAATTTTTAAAAAATCCACGTCTATTGGTATTTATAAAAAAGTAATTTTTAAAAAATCCACGTCTATTGGTATTTATAAAAAATAATTTTTAAAAAATCCACGTCTATTGGTATTTATAAAAAATAATTTTTAAAAAATCCACGTCTATTGGTATTTATAAAAAATAATTTTTAAAAAATCCACGTCTATTGGTATTTATAAAAAATAATTTTTAAAAAATCCAAGTCTATTGGTATTTATAAAAAATAATTTTTAAAAAATCCACGTCTATTGGTATTTATAAAAATAATTTTTAAAAAATCCACGTCTATTGGTATTTATAAAAAATAATTTTTAAAAAATCCACGTCTATTGGTATTTATAAAAAATAATTTTTAAAAAATCCACGTCTATTGGTATTTATAAAAAATAATTTTTAAAAAATCCACGTCTATTGGTATTTATAAAAATAATTTTTAAAAAATCCACGTCTATTGTTATTTATAAAAATAATTTTTAAAAAATCCACGTCTATTGGTATTTATAAAAAATAATTTTTAAAAAATCCACGTCTATTGGTATTTATAAAAAATAATTTTTAAAAAATCCACGTCTATTGGTATTTATAAAAAATAATTTTTAAAAATCCACGTCTATTGTTATTTATAAAAAATAATTTTTAAAAAATCCACGTCTATTGGTATTTATAAAAAATAATTTTTAAAAAATCCACGTCTATTGGTATTTATAAAAAATAATTTTTAAAAAATCCACGTCTATTGGTATTTATAAAAAATAATTTTTAAAAAATCCACGTCTATTGTTATTTATAAAAAATAATTTTTAAAAAATCCACGTCTATTGGTATTTATAAAAAATAATTTTTAAAAAATCCACGTCTATTGGTATTTATAAAAAATAATTTTTAAAAAATCCACGTCTATTGGTATTTATAAAAAATAATTTTTAAAAAATCCACGTCTATTGGTATTTATAAAAAATAATTTTTAAAAAATCCACGTCTATTGTTATTTATAAAAATAATTTTTAAAAAATCCACGTCTATTGGTATTTATAAAAAATAATTTTTAAAAAATCCACGTCTATTGGTATTTATAAAAAATAATTTTTAAAAAATCCACGTCTATTGGTATTTATAAAAAATAATTTTTAAAAAATCCACGTCTATTGGTATTTATAAAAAATAATTTTTAAAAAATCCACGTCTATTGGTATTTATAAAAAATAATTTTTAAAAAATCCACGTCTATTGGTATTTATAAAAAATAATTTTTAAAAAATCCACGTCTATTGTTATTTATAAAAAATAATTTTTAAAAAATCCACGTCTATTGTTATTTATAAAAATAATTTTTAAAAAATCCACGTCTATTGGTATTTATAAAAAATAATTTTTAAAAATCCACGTCTATTGGTATTTATAAAAAATAATTTTTAAAAAATCCACGTCTATTGGTATTTATAAAAAATAATTTTTAAAAAATCCACGTCTATTGGTATTTATAAAAAATAATTTTTAAAAAATCCACGTCTATTGGTATTTATAAAAAATAATTTTTAAAAAATCTACGTCTATTGGTATTTATAAAAAATAATTTTTAAAAAATCTACGTTTTTTTGTATTTATAAAAAATAATTTTTAAAAAAATCCACGTCTATTGGTATTTATAAAAAATAATTTTTAAAAAATCTACGTTTTTTTGTATTTATAAAAAAGTAATTTTTAAAAAATCCACGTCTATTGTTATTTATAAAAAATAATTTTTAAAAAATCCACGTCTATTGTTATTTATAAAAAATAATTTTTAAAAAATCCACGTCTATTGGTATTTATAAAAAATAATTTTAAAAAATCCACGTCTATTGGTATTTATAAAAAATAATTTTTAAAAAATCCACGTCTATTGGTATTTATAAAAAATAATTTTTAAAAAATCTACGTCTATTGGTATTTATAAAAAATAATTTTTAAAAAATCTACGTTTTTTTGTATTTATAAAAAATAATTTTTAAAAAATCCACGTCTATTGGTATTTATAAAAAAGTAATTTTTAAAAAATCCACGTCTATTGGTATTTATAAAAAATAATTCTTAAAAAAATCCACGTCTATTGGTATTGGGAAAAAATAATTTTTAAAATATCATCGTCTATTGGTATTTACAAAAAATAATTTTTAAAAAATCCCCGTCTATTGGTATTTATAAAAAATAATTTTTTAAGAAGTCCACGTCTATTGAAATGTGGAAAAAATATTTTTTAAAAATTCCACGTCCACGAAAGGCCCAAAATTTTTAAAAGAAAAAATTTTGTTTTTTTTTTGATTTTTTTTTATTTTCAAATTTTTGTCTTAAAAAATAATTGAAACAGAAGAGAAAATAGAAAACTTAAATTAGAAAAAACACGTATCAACGAACTACATAACAGCGGAATTTTTTCACCGACCAGAAAAAAATAAGCGTCAATTTTTTCTCAGCAAAAAAAACAAATACTTAAAAACTAAAATTATAAATAAAATATTAAAAAAAAATTAATTTTAAAATTAAGATACTTAAAAACTATAAGCGTAATATGAGAGCAATTCCCCTCGTTTGTCAACAACAACAGAAAGAAGTTTTAACAAAAAAAAAATGGGATAAAATTGGGCGACTTTTTTGGTCTAAATTCGTTGGTAGTTTTTTGGTTTTGGTTAGGCATTTTTGGTATTTCTCTCTTTTTCTCCCCTTTCCCGCACTCTCTCTTTCTCTCTCTTAGACATATATGGATGGCAGAGCCAGGCCAACCTCAAAATAGTTCCTCGAGTCCACTTTGTATTTCTTGGCACTTGACGATTGACAGGATTTGGAATTGGAGCGACGTTTAAGATTGGGCCTTGCCGCTGGCGGGGTGGCCAAATTGAAGGAGTCTTGGTGTTTTTGGATTGGTGCCATGGGTGTGGGCAGCTGTAGTAACTCGGCGGGCGTGTAGTTTACACCCGCTTGCGGTGTGGCTGGTATGGGCGTCTGGGGCCCCACAATGGGTGAGCCAGGTTGAGGAGTACTGGGACGCACAAAGGTCTTGGTTTCGCCACCCAAAAAACTCAAATCACTACAGGGATCATCACCAGCCGCATAGGAGGGGGATAGGATCAAATCATTCACTGTATCCACTTGGTTCTTCAGCAGGGTCCTCCTTCTCAAATTAAAGGTCGACTTGCGTGGCTTCTTTTTCTTTTCCTCCTTGCGGGCCGAATCCAAAATGGCATCAATTAAATTATCCAAGGTCTGGTCACCCATGCGATTGGACAAAATGCCGGTATTATTTTTCAGGTCCTCCTTGGGGGCACTGGATATATTTTCCTGCTGCTCCTGTTCCTGGGCAATGGCCAAAAAATCCAATTCCAGTTTGCGTTTTTGGGGCAAGGATGAGGCTGAGGCTGAGGAGGAGGAGGAGGAGGAAATTTGTTTCACCTCCTGTTCCATTACCTGGGGTGTGGTGAAGTAGCGACGATTTACCATAAAAGGATCTGGCAGCAGACCCCTCAAGGCCAACTGCTGGCCCGTGAACATGGCATTGGGTGAATACTCCTCCTCGAATTTAGGCAAAGTGGTGGCATATTTGGGTACCTCCGCCGCCGGCAGGGTCAGACCCAAAGTTGAATGCCTTCGCTGATTGCGATTCCGTGTAATCGACACCGTTTCACTGGCAACCCTTCTACGCTCGGGTGTTCCACTGGGGCTGGCGATTGCCTCAGGTGTTACATTTAAAATATCCGCCAAGGGGGTCAAGACCAAGGGACTATTTCTCGAATTCCTGGCGACCATGGGTGTTGAGGTCAAAATGGGTATATTTTCCTTATTGGCAATGGTGGCCCGTCTCCGGCGGCGTTTGGCATCTGTGGAACGTGGTGTTCGCCGCTGTGCTACAGGAGTATCCTGGGGCATTTTTGTTGCCGAGGCCGTCCACTTTAACATTTTTGGGAATTTATTTTTTTTTTTCAAAATTTTTTTGTTAAAAATTTCAAAACGCACGTTTTCCTCAAAAACCGTTGCGGGAGAAAAATATTGAAAATTTCGATTTTTTTGTTCCGTAACGATGTGTTGCGAATGGCTATTGCTGACAAACTGATTTGAAAACTCTCTCGGCGGGCTATTTATACATGGGCCACCCCTCACTCAATGTGGCTCTCTCTCACCCAGTTATGAAAATATGAGGTAATATCTCGCAAGGGTTGTTCAACCGTTACTCCACACACACACACACAACGCCTGGCTCTCAGGCACAACATGCTCTATTTACTCTCACAAGGTAACCCTCAATGAGGCTCTCCCTAAAATTAGTTTTCCAACTGTTACTCAAAACCACCCTTCGTTGCCATTCATTCATTGGCTGTCCATGTCTCGTGCTCCGGTTTCCCTCCTCTCCCAACCATAATCCTCTCTGCATGGTGTCCTTTTTGGGGTTTCCTTCGGCTACACTGTCACAAATTGTCCACCTAATCCAATGGCAGGTATTTGAAAAATTCAAATGTTTTTTTTTCGAATTTTTCTTAATCTAGGATCAAATCTTAAAACTCAACTCAACAGGACATTTTGGTAGACCACAATGAGGTGTTAAAATCCTTTGAGGAAAAATTAAATGATAAATTGTTTTCTTATTGCACCAGGATAAAGGATAATGTCTTAATCCTAATCAAGCGTGATATTGTTGCGGGCACAACGGGATATTCAGATTTTTTTAGTCTCAAGGACTCTTCGATCAATTCAATTTTTATTTCCAAGGACTGCCAAAGAAAGGACCAAGGAGAAAACTTGGTATAGGGGTCTCAAGGGCTTTTATTTGAGGATTTTCAAGGATATTTATGAAGGACTTAAAAAAACTCTTCTTAAGTCTTACCCCAAAAAACTTCGTCGATTTAAATTTTTATTCGACGAGGACTACAAAAGGAAGGCCCAAGGAAAAACTAATCAGGAAAAGGTATAGGGGATATGGTCTTAAGGACTTTTGTTTCAAGGATACTTACGAAGGATTAAAACAACTCGTCTTACTTCGCCGACTTCAATTTTTTTTTCCCCGAAGACTACCAAAGGAAGGCCCAAGGAAAAAATTCTCAGTGAAAGGTATAAAGACATAGTCTCAAGGATTTTTGTTTGAGAATTTTTAAGGATATTTACGAAGGTCTAGAAAAACTCTTCTTACGCCTGACCCCTTAAAACTTCACAGACTTCCATTTTTTTCCCCTAGGACCACCAAAGAAAGACCCAAGGAAAAACTTCTCAGAGAAAGTCATAAGGGATATGGTCTTAAGGACATTTTTTTTGAGAATTTTGAAGGATATTTACGAAGGACTAAAAATATTCTTCTTCGCCGACTTCAATTTTTATTCCTTAGGACTCCCATAGAATATTTACGAATATTTACGTCTTACGTCTGCCCCCCAGAAAACTTCGCTGACTTCAATTTTTATTCTCCGAGGACTCCCAAAGGAAGATGCAAGGAAAAACTTCTCAGAGAAAGGTATAAAGAATATAGTCTCATGGGCTGTTCTTTGAGAATTTTCAAGGAAATTTACGAAGGACTAAAAAAGTCGTCTTACTTCGCCGACTTCCATTTATATTCCCGGAGGACTCCCAAATGAAGGCCCAAGGAAAAAACATCTCAGGCAAGGTATAGGAGACATAGTCTCAAGGGCTGTTCTTTGAGAATTTTCAGGGATGTTTACAAAGGAATAAAAAAATATTTTTTACGTCTGGCCCCAGAATATTCCGCTGCGAAAACTTATAGAACATCCTTGAGAGAAGGCCCAAGTCTTTTTTAGGGGACCTTTGGAAACAATGTGAGAACTTTCTTTTGAGAATTTTCAGTGATATTTCCGACTTCAACTTTTCAGATAAAGGTATAGGAGATATGGTCTCAAGGACTTTTGTTTGAGAATTTTCAGGGATATTTAGGAAGACCAAAAAAAAAAAAAACACTTCTTACTACTGACCCCAGAAAACTTCGCCGACTTCAGTTTTTTTATTCCCCGAGGACTCCCAAAGAAAGACTCTTAGAGAAAGGTATAATGGACATAGTCTCAAGGGCTTTTGTTTGAGAATTTTTAAGGATATTTATGAAGGACTAGAAAAACTCTTCTTTCGTCTGAACCCAGAAAACTTTACGGACTTAATTTTTTATTCCCCGAAGACTACCAATGGAAGGCTTAAGGATAACTTCTCAGCTAAAGGTATAAGGAATATGGTCTTAAGGACTTTTGTTTGAGAATTTTCAAGGATATTTACAAAGGACTAAAAATACTTCTTACGTCTGGCTCAAAAAATTTCCCAGAGAAAAGTTATAGAAAATCCTTGGAAGAAGGCCCAAGTCCTTTTGTAGGAGTCCTTTGGAAACAAATGTGACTTTTTCAAGAATTCAAAAGATGTCCCTGAAGGACTTTTCTCAAGGAATTTTTTTTTCGAGATTTGTCAAAGATATTTAGGAAGGACTAAGAAAACTCTTCGTGAAAACTTCGCCCCGAAAAATATCGAAAAAGAAAGGCCAAGCCCTTTTGTGGGCAACTTTTGAAGACAAACGTGACTTTTTCAAGAATTTCAAAAATATCCTTGAAGCAATACAAGGAGAATTTTTTAAGGTATTTTAGAGAACTTTTGGTGGAAATAAGTGTTAATTTTTAAGGATCTTCAGGAAGCTTCTGGGAGGGAATAAATCAAAGAATTTTAAAGAATTTTGAAAGGACTCTTGTTGGGAAAATAAAAATGTATCTTTAAAAGGGAGAGTGGGGTAATTTCAAAAGGACTTTTAAGGAATTTTTGCAGAAAAATCCTTGGAAGGATGCAAAGAAATTTTTACGGGATTTCAGGGGATTCTAGGCAGGAATAAATGTTGATTTGTAGGATTTTTTGGAGACAACTAAACGAAAACATTTTTAGGATAATTGATAGAGAATATTTGTAGGATTTGCAGGATTTTTCGGAGGATTTTTAGATGACAAAAATGAATCTATTAAAGGGACTACAGGAGAACTTTCAAAGGCTCTTGGAGAATTTTTAAATTTCGATTTTAAGGAATTTTCTGAAGGACAATTTATGAAAAAGATGTTTGAATGATTTTTTTTCTGATGTTTAAAAGGGACTTCGAGGTAAGAACTCTTAGACTCAAACAAACGAGAATTTTGAGCGAAAAAGACTCTAAGCGAATTTATATGTAATGTAAAGCGACACTTGGCTGGAGTAAATATATTTTTAAGGTTTTTTGCAAAACTTTTTCTGGAGAGAACCAAACGAACACTTTTCGGGGAATTTCTAATTTTTTTATTTATTTTATTTTTTTTATTTATTTATTTATTTTATTTTTTATTTTTTTTTATTTATTTATTATTATTTTTTTTTTTTTATTTATTTTTTTTTTTTTGATGCTTCAGAGTATTTTTAGAGACCAAAAAAGATCTTTTGAAGAGTCTTCAATGGAAGAAATTTAAGAAATTTCACGAGACTCAAGAGTTTGAAAATAATATATATTTTATGGAGGGAATACCATTAGATTTCAAAGAGTGTGAAATAAAACTCCTACTGAACAATATTAGTGAATTTTTAAGTAATTTCTGGAAAACTTTTTGGAGTGAAAAAAAAATTGAAAGCGAAATCTTTAATGGAATTGGAAGGGGTATTCGGAGTTGAAAAAAAAATATGGACATTATTGGTAGACAATATACTAGAAATCAAAGTACTCTTCGAGGTGTACAAACATAGACTTCTAAGGAATTTGCAAAGGACCCAGGGAAAGCAATTAACAAACAGTAGTCCCGAGGGAAAATAACATTTAAAAATTCACATCGGTCCTTCAAAACAAATTCTATTCCAAAGAAATCATCAAAAAATCTCGTTGGTTCTTGGATACAAATTCTTCAAAAACTAATGTCGGTGCTGGGAAAAGTTTGTTAATCTCTAGGACTACCAAAAAAATATATCGAAAAATATCCGCATTTATTAGATTCTGAGTCGATTTAAAATATTTTTGTAAAAATCCATGTCCGGAGACCACTCTGAGTGCTTCAAGGATATTTTTAAAACGTCCTTATCTATGTCCTCTGAAAGTCCCTAAAATTATATTACTATAAAATTTAAGTTGGTCCTTATAAAAAATAATTTTAGATATTCCATTTATCCCATGGAAAATTCTTTTAAAAATCCAAATGTGTGTCCTTGGAGAAAAATTCTCCTAAATAATCCACATCTCTTGGTCTGGGTCATTTGCAATTATTTTTAAAAAATCGATGTTTATCGGGTCTGTGTTCCCAAAAAATCCATTTTTATTTGACTGGGTCATTTGTAAATATTTTTAAAAATCAAGGTTTATCGGGTCCGTGTCCTTTAAAAACGTTCCCAAAAAATCCATGTTTATTGAGACTAGGTCTTTTAAAAAATTTGCTGAAATATCCAAGTTTTTTGGTCTCTAGGACTATCCAAAAAAAAATTTATCCAAAAATTTCCGCATTTATTAGATTCTCAGTCGATTGAAAATATTTTTTGTAAAAATTCATGTCCGCAGACCACTCTGAATGCTATAAGGATATTTTTAAAACGTCCTTATCTAAGTCCTCTGAAAGTCCTGAAAATTATATTACTTTAAAATATACGTTGGTCCTTATAAAAAATAATTTTAGAGATTCCAGTTAGCCCATGGAAAAAGTCCAATCCATGTGTGGCCTTGGAGAAAAATACTCCTAAAAACCCACATCTCTTGGTCTGGGTTATTTGTAAATATTTTTAAAAATCGAGGGTAATCGGGTCTGAGTCCATTCAAATTTTACCCAAAAAAAAAACATTGTTATTGGGACTAGGTCCTTTAAAAAATTTGCTAAAGTATCCAAGTTTTTTTGGTCTCTAGGACTATCCAAAAAAAATATCAGCATTTATTCTGAGACGATTGGAAATATTTTTGTAAAAATCCATGTCCGGAGACCACTCTGAGTGCTTCAAGGATATTTTTAAAACGTCCTTATCTAAGTCCTCTGAAAGTCCCGAAAATGATATTACTATAAAATATACGTTGGTCCTTATAAAAAATAATTTTAGAGATTCCAGTTAGCCCATGGAAAAATTATTTAAA